TTTTTTTTTTTTTTTTTTTTTTTTTTTTTTCCGAATGCTCCATTCTGTTGGTGGGGATGTGCACCTGCAGGAAACCAGGGCCGAGGTCTCACTAGCAAAGAGGATTGGATTAAGCTCCTGAATCTGGAGGTGTTTCAAGCAGAGATGCAGAAAAGCAGTTCAAGCTCGATATTCTGCACCTTTGCACAAACGCGCCCAGATTCAGGCGTTCAATCCAATCTCCTTCGCTAGTGGGACCTCGGCCCAGGTCCAGAGTCCCTTGTATGCAAGGAGTCAAACCAATGATCCGGCACAATATATATATCTATATAATCCACCAATGCTACAAAAAATAGCTAGCTGCAGGACCTCTTCACAGGGGGCGAGGTCCCACTAGCAAAGAGGATAGGATTGAAGACCTGAATCTGGTCGTGTTTGTGGACAGGTGCAGAATGTCGAGATTGAACTGCTTTTCTGCATGTCCGCTTAAAACACGTCCAGATTCAGGATATTTATCCAATCCCCTTTGCTAGTGGGACCTCGCTCGCTCCAGAGGGCGCCAGAAAGGAGTTGAGCACCACTAGCCCTGCACAGCTGCTTAAAAAAAAAAAAAAAAAAAAAAAAAAAAAAAAAAAAAACTTTAAAAAAGGAAAGAAGAAAAGAAAAGAAAAAAAGTCTCGATTGGTTTGGACTCTGTGCCTTGACTTCATCTGGACTTCGAGTCAGACTTGCTCTTCGTGTTCACGATTGAGGTCCCACTAGCAAAGAGGGTTGGATAATTATCCTGAATCTGGACGTGTTTAAAGCACAGATGCGGAAAAGCAGTTCAATCTCGACATTCTGCACCTTTCCACAAACAAGTCCAGATTCATGTGTTCAATCCAATCCTCTTTGCTAGTGGTACCTCGCCCCTATGGACGATTGAGTTTCTGCATGACTACACACATGTTCCAGTTTTTTTTTTGTTTTTTTTTTTTTCCTTTTTTTTTTTTTTTTGTTTTTTTTAAGGGTTAATTGCAGAAATAGCGCGCCCGTTGAAGTTTCGCAGCAAAAATATTGGCGGGGCCCAAGTTTCGTTGCAAAAATGTATCTTTCGTCGCAGCTTTAGAGGTCCCGGTAGTTTCACAGCAAAAATATTTGCTGGCGGGGCCCCACTTTCCTTACAAAAATAGATATAGATGTTTTGGACCCATATAACATTTCTGCTGCCAAACTTCAAGAACGCGCTATTTTTGCAATTGCCCCTTTTTTAAATCCACAACAAGTTCCGGTTTGCCAAGGGTGTATTTTTGAAATCGATTCAAATATTCTATCTACCCCCTTCACACAAATGAGCCTCCTCATGAGTCCGTGAAAGACCACTGAGTCTCAAGCAGTCTGTCCTCCCTGTCTATCCCCATTGCCCCTCCCTTTTTCCCTCCTTTTCTTCCCCCTCTCCTCCCCCCTTTCCTTCGCCAGGTGGTTCATTTCGTTTCTCACTCTCCACTTACGTTGTCCTCAAGTTTCAAACTGCGGGATTCGAACACGTGACCTTCCACAGAAGGACAGATACAAATTTCAGTTAAACCCAGGAAACCGCCCCACCGTCTCTCTCACATGCATGCTGCACAAACGGGCCCAGCTGTGTTTGGTACACCCATGAACTGTGTTGAAAGACAGGTCCATTTTCTAAAAATAGACATGCAGTCAGATTAACAAAAAAAAAAAAAAAAAAAAAAACCTACTTGGGCCCTTTGGGATTACCTAGGGCCCGTCAATTCAATGACGTTACCTCAAGTCTGTCCCCCGAATAGACATGCAGTCCCTGCTCTTTCTTTTCTTTTCTCTTTCTTCTCTTTTCTGCTTTCTTATTCACTGCATCAAGTGCTTGCACTTATGCTTGTGTGTTGCTTCATCTGTCCCCTTTGAACCATCATGAACAGCAGATCACCAATCACATAATATGTAGCACTTTGCTAGCTCCCTCTCAACAGATCACCAGACAGTCTTCGTATGCCGCCGTAGTCAGGACCACCAGCAGCCCGTCCAGATCACCCTAAAGTCTTCGTAGTTTTTTCCGTCGACTTTAGGAAGTACTGGTTGTTACCACTCACTGCGATTAAACCACCACCAGTATTTCCTAAAGTCGTGCCGCTACGCGATTTTAGGAAATGTATATGGGTCGCTACAGGAGCGCCCAAATTCATCCAACCAGAAACGTTTCTACTCTATTTTTTTCCGCGGCGGATAGCTGGGCCAAGTACTGGTGGTTTAATGTCAGGCAGTGGCAGCCGTGCCATGCATTTCTACTGGACGGGCTGCTGCATGTAGGGTGTGGATTTCTTGTTGTGACAAAGTGCCACAGCACCTTCTGAGTTTTACT